CCCCCCCCCCCCCCCCCCCCGCCCCCCCCCTTTCTCACTCTCCCTTCCACCTTTTCCGCTCTCCCCCTCATAACTCCTCTTCATCTCCTCTGCAATGCATGACCCTGCAAAGATTTATGGACCGCACTGAATCCCTATAAAGAATATGGGCTGTCACCAACAGAAAGATAAATGACGACCAAAACCCATTAACTTTCCCCCAACAGTCCCTCTCATATACTGTACAATTCTGCAGCCACCTCCTCCCCCTTATATTGAATCTTCTCATTTACAGTTAGTGGTCTTGACCTCTTGTGTAGATACAATCAGATCACCTGGAGAAACAATCCTCGGTCTAAACACACTATAGTTGCATGGTTGCTCACCAAATCTCACTAAATCCTCGACCCCTTATGCTCTGCTTGTGCTGCTTATGATCTGGGCTTGCAATAATTGCACAATGTAGTGATTAGACTGCAACAGCATGCTAATGTTGTTTTTAAATGCTGCATACTCCCGGGTTCAAGTGCTTAATTACACATTTTTGCATGCAGACGTTTATTTTGGTAACGAATTTATTATTTTCACGAGTAAGTAAGTTATTAACAGCTACATGATTCGTCAACTGCAATGTTTTTAAAACACGATCAGACAGTTTCTGGAAATCATCAAAACCCTTTTGGATGGATGTTTTGCATTTTTCAAACGCCTCCATCAGATTACATATTGATAAATTCATTCAGCTGCAGCTCAAATGACGTCCGCATTCTGACTGAAAGCATTACCATGTTTCCTGTAGAGAACATTGCAAGGAGACTTGATATTCAGCCGGTGATGATTGTAGAAAACACCACTACATTGTCTATCCCCGGGTCCATGTTAATCTGAAAAAACATGGCCGTACGCTGTAAATAGTCAGGTCCAAAGGGTAAACACGGGCATTTCTCATGCCACAGAGCTGCAGTAGCACTATGTTATGTTACATCGGTTTGTCACAGCTGAGCTCGCTTTTAAGTGAGACCAGTAAGCTCAGAGGGAAAGTGGTTGTATTCATAAAGCATTCCAGTTGAGGACTGCTGCTCTCTGATCTGTTTTTCTTATTGGTAAGGCCTGAGATCACAACACGACGGAAGTCCTCATGAACATGTGATCACTCCTACTATGAAGTGCTTCAGGCTCACCTTTGTATTTGTTCATGAGGTGACAACAAACCTAAAGTAGTATGTGTAGTCTTAATATATGCTCATTGTAAAAAGAGTACAGTAGAAGTGTGTGATATGGATTACAGCCGGACAAATACATCGTCCTGTCTGATAAATCCACAGATGTTAGCTTGATGCAGATGTATCGACATTGTGTTCACGTCAGACAATAAGCAGGAAGACATCGCAGTGCAGAAATGCCAAAGAAATGTTTGACGTATTTTGAAATTGTGTCTTTATTAGATCATTTGTCCGCGAGAGAACAGTTTATTTACTGTAAAATGTCCTGCTCAGTACATTTCGTGATCACAGTGTGAAAAAAACGAACTAAAAATATCGTTTTTTTTCTTGGGGTATTTAATGCCCTTTATTCATAAGCAGACATGAGAGAGTGGGGACAGGAAATGAGGGGAGATGGATATAGATAGGAAATTGCATGGAAGAAAGGAAGTGAACCAATGATGTTGCGTTCATAATAAATAGTATCTTAACCCCGAGACAAAATGGATGCCCATAGATCCTTATCATAAGTGTTATTGATGTTGCTATCAGCCTCAAAAATCAGTTTGCCTTTATAATGCACTTTTCTTATAATGCATCTTTTATCACTATGTACCATTATTGTATGTGATAATATTATATACCATGATATAGTGGCTATAGTTATATACCATGATTATACACCATGATCTGTGGAACTTCAATTGTGAAATAGTATATAGATAAAATTGAAATGCTGACATTGCACTAATCTAGTCAATTGAATACCTGACAAATAAAGATATTTAATTAAATTGATGCCAACATTCTGTAAATCCAATATTGGCATAAATAAATAAATCAGTCCCGCTTATTGATTTGCATTGCCCACAATAGCCTAATGCAACCAGAGATACTCAAGAGATAGCTAACTGAGTATTAAACATATCCCAGAATCTTCAATGGTTGTTACAAATATTTCATCGTCCCTCAGTGTATATTGTTATATTTGCCCGGCACTAGTTCACAGATGTCTAGACAGTATAGTTAGAAAGAAAACAAAGCAACCTTCTTGTCTTAGTGGGTTGGAAGATTCCACGTTGATCAAGATTTCCGGGACATAATGCGTTGAGGAAGACGGGTCATTAAGCATTCCTATGTTCATCTTCACGCCACGACTAATGTCTCTGCTAGACTTGAAGCATCAAGGAGATAAATCGTTAATTTCACAAGGCAAATTACCAAATTACCCGTGGATATTTACAAGGATGTGGAGGTTGAAAACAAGGGAAAGGTCAGTGTAGTCAGACAGACATTGTGAAAGTTTAATATTGTGCCCTTTTAGATTCTGCCAGCCTTGCTTCAGATGTAATCTATCTAACTGAGTGTGGACATCAGGATTAGCTCGTGGGATTCATTGTCAGTCAAATAATTCCACGTAATTTATAATTTCCATTTGTAGCGTTGTGTTTCGTTGCCCTGATGTCCAAACAAATGTGGCAATGAGGCCAATTTCCTAGTGCGAACCAACTTAGAAGTTACCCATCGTGCATTTACATTGCATCTTCCCTGCATTAATATTGCATCAGATGTTGCAGCCCTCTCTTTCTCAAACGTCATAATGTAGAACTAAACATACATATTATAACACATAAATGAAGTCTTCTTTCTTTGCTGTAATATTTTCACGCCAGTAACACAATTTGATTTCTAAAAAACAATCCCCCCGTGGTGCAGAGCGATAGAGCAATTCTAATTCACTGTTGCATTAACTGAGTGCATTTAGTGAGATGAAGGACTTCTACCATGGCTACATCTGCAAGTCGTGTCAGATTAAATCAAACCACCGTTGCTCATAAGCTATGTAAGAACTGAACCATATATTCCCGTCACATGTTTCAAATGCAGCATGAAATAATATGTTTGCAGAGTCTCCCGAGGCATCATCAGACTTCAAACTGTGTTAATAAAAGTGGAGAATCTATTTTGGGCCTCCCTTACATCAGACCCCGCTTCATTTTGACCTTTTTATTCTGGTGATCAGTGAGTAATCTCTAAACTGGACCATGATACAGGCCTGTGAATACTGCTGCATCGTGCTCTGAAACCAATCCAGTAAGAGCAGGTTGAGTAAAGACCACAGAACATTTTAACATTCTTGGCCAGGAAGAATCAATCTGCAGCAGTCCACGGGGAAAAAACGCTTAGCTCCACATTTTCAAGGTTCTCCTTGTATCTTTATTCCCCGCCTATAAACCGGAATAAGATGACAAAGCAGCTGGAGCTGCAAATATGAATAGCTACATGAAATAGACAAGAATCTGCTTGTCAGTCAAGAATTCAGAATTCAAAATTATTGTTTTTCATTGTTTCTATGCCCTAAATTAAAGAATTGTTACAAACTGCAGTGAAATCTTGTTTCCTCTTGGACAGTTGAGTTTCCCTCAATGAAACACTGCAACAAAGGGATCCTGTAGATGCTGCTGCAGTTATGAAGGCTTTGTTCCTTCCGAGTCGCATCAGATCAGATTGATTACTCTTGGCATGCCCAATTAATTTGACTTCATTGTCCTCCCACTCTGCTGTTACTGCTTGTGTTAGAGATGCGCATATTTCCATGTGTGTGTGTGTGCATGTGTGTATGTTATTAACAAGTGTGTGTTTGCACAGCTACAATGCTGCCCTGGTAGTTACAGAGCAGAATGAGTCATGGCCGTTGTTCATACAAAGCTATTTGTCATATGCCACTAGAGTGTCTTCTATGTGTAAATATTGGAAACCAGTTTGTGTGTGTGTGTGTCCAGACATTGAATTTATTGCACAGTGTAACGAATTACAGATTTATTTTCATGGATTCTACTGCTGTATGTCTACTGTGTGTATTGTCTCCGTGCATGTGTATGTTTTTGTGCTTGTGTGTATGTGTTTATATGTTTGCGTGCACGTGTGTACGGGTTTGACTGTGTGTGCGCCTGTGTGAATGCGTTTTTTTGTGTGTGTCTCTTGCGTTTTTGCTTATGTAGGGGGGTAACGTGATGGAGGACCAGGATCTCAGAGACATTGGGATCACTGACCCAGGACACAGAAAGAAAATCCTCCATGCGGCACGCAGCTTGCCCAAGGTACTTAACATCATAACTTAACCTCGGCACTGAGGGAGGACAGTGACTGACAGTGTCTCTGAAAAAAAGATCAAAATGTCATGTTTATAAAAATAGCAGGTAAGCAAACAAATAGATAACACAGAAAAGGGAAGACATGTCTTATACTTGTGGATAGATCCCGAGGTTCATCAGAATTGAATCAAAAACCTTCCGATAAAAAATAGTAGATATAAAAACCTATTTTGGACCAAAGATATTATAGATTTAACAACAAACAAATACAATTTGTAATAGATAATGAGATAATAAGGATTGGTCTACTTTATACTGTATGATAAAGGTTGCACAAGGGTTGTAGGTGGAAAAGTAAGGAAAACATTTATAATGTATTCAAAGACAAAATGATGTGTCCGACCCTGCGAATGTGGACGGTTACAAAACCAAGCTACAGCCATGCTAGTGGCTATGTAAGGCTGTACTCTAGCACAGCAGTGCTTTGAGCTAAATGCTAACATCAGCATGCTAATATACTCACAATCACAATGCTAACATGCTCGTTAAAAGCAGGTATCATATTTACCATGTTCACCATCTTAGCTTGTTAGCATGCTATCATTTCCTAGACAATGCTATTAGTTTTGCAGGTATTTGGCCATAAAGCAAAGTATTGGACAAGCTAACATGGCTAAAAACAGCAGCGGCATTGTCCAGCTTTAGTGAGGTAGAATTATATCCACAACTGGAAAAAAAAATATATGTACTGTACATTTCAAGTTGAAGCCATTTTCTCAATACAAAACGTTTCAGTGCTTGTTCCCTCACATGTGTTCTCTCTTCACTAGGTAAAAGCACTGGGCTGTGATGGCAGCACATCTCTTGTCTCCTGGCTGGACGTCCTTGGCCTGCATGAATATCTGCCCAACTTTCTGTCAAGTGGCTACCGCACACTGGAGTGTGTTAAGAACCTGTGGGAGCTGGAGATTGTCAATGTAAGAAGCCATCGCCTACATTTATCCGGTGCAGTTCAAATGTTTATGAGTAGGAAATTCTTCAGTGTCTTATGTGCTTACAGAGAGACGTGAGTGTTGATGGACTCAACGTCTTTAGACATTCTGGACCAGTTCTCACCGAATGGTCTCCTTAATCATAAAACAACCTTGATTTATGGATCATGATTGAGGTTTACAAGCTCTTTAAAATGCAATGTTGAAATAGCAGAGGGCTCGATGATTAAAGCATTTGCTTAAAACTATAGCAGGAACCACTGAGTCATTAGAAGTTAACTATGCAATAAAACGTGAATTAAGGAGCAATGTGGTGACTGATGACTGGGAAGTATATCATTTGGTTTAATCTTTATGTAAATCGTGCTACATTTTATGATAATTTGTAATGACAAGAAAGAAAAGTCCATTTTTGTTTCCTTGTCTGATGTCATTACAAGGTTATGTTTTAAGTTTGAAACGGCAGTAATAACCAATCATGAAGACATTATAAATGTTTATGGCATGTCGGGCAACTAGACAATCCAAACGGATGATCTGATACGGTTGATAAGCACTCTCTGAAGGCAGTGTAGGAGCAGTGGATGAGCTTGTTTACAGCGTTTATAATTTACCCACTTATTACTGCATTTCGTTGAGTAGATAACATTATTATTATTAGTGGTATTATTAGTCTTTATTATACAAGAAACATGCACAAAAAAACATTCTCAAAATGAAAAGGAAATGAAGAGATGATTTCTGCCAGTTTAAAACGTGCAAGAGCTGAGATTAGGAGCTTTTTGATTGCCTCTCAACGGCTCTCAACGTGTAGATGGCGAGCCGGCAGTTTATAGCTAACGTTGCTAACAGCGTTTACTTGAGGCCGGGTGTTACACTCCTGCCACGACACCATCAGTTGGGACGGCTTTATCAGCTGTAACCCTCATAAGAGAGCACTGCAGAGCGGTGGCTGTGAGCTAACCGGTGGTGCACGCTCATGTGCACTAACGTGCACTAAAAGCGTGAGGCGGCCGGCCCGGCCATGTTAACAGAGCAAGGAGCTGAGATAACAACACACATAGAGGGAGAGAGACTTCATTTTCTGCTCAGGTAGACATTACTCCACTACAGCTTTACATATAATAGTTGATTGCTGCTCTATCATTATTGTTCAGAATGTTAAATACAGCTCCTTTAAGTTATTAGCTCATTTCCATGTGCAGTCCCAGGGCATACACACAGAACAACCAGCAGACACATTACACAGTCTCTATCACACTGCAAGCAAACATCAACAGATCGAGACCAGCACATTAATCCACTACAACTATAAAATTACAATTCATTACCATTACAAACCTGAATCACGGTTATAAAATGACTGTTCGCTCAACATTCATTTCTTTGCACCATGGAAAACAATAATTAATCTGTGCAAGTTTTAAGCTCAGCTGGACGAGTATTCCTATGCTTGACGGCTGTGAATGAAAAAGCAGTTTGTGCATACACACATAGTGATGGCAAAATGGCAGAAACCAGCAATAGCTGCAATAGCAGCAGCAGCAGCAGGAATGCAGCAGCCAAACATACTGTATATGCAGTGGGCGAGGGATAGTGTCCAGCAGACTGCGATGCAGTACAGAAAGATGGGTGTGAGCGCAGCTCACTTTGCTTCAGTGTGCAGAAGCCTGTGAGCATCTTGCCAGGAATCGCTTTTCCCCATTAGCATTTCCTACATCCTCTTCAGCATGTTAGTATCAACCATCAATTTGATCTACGAGCTGGTTTTCATTCCCAGATAATCCCAAGACTCTTTTTACTGTTAAAATGCTCTCTTATTTCACACACCTCATGCATACTGGTCTCACTGGGATTCTGTACGCGAGAGTAAGGAAATCCAGACTACAGACCAGTTGCCTCAACTGACTCTCACTGAATAAATAATTGAAGCCTCCAGACAAAGAGCCGTACGAGCCAGTTATGGAATATTTTGTACCAGCTACATAATTGCAATTGTAACATTAATCACTCGACGACCACCTTTGCTGGATGAGCATGAATGTTAATAGCCAATTATGCAAATGTACAGTATGAAGATAATGAGTTTTGACTACTTAAAATTAACCTATGGTTCCTCCTCTGAGGGTTTAGCAAAACAAGCAGACACGGCATTTGTAAAAGAGACAGAGATACTGTGGATAGACATGTGTCAGGTGAACTTGCAGTGTTAAAATACTGTCAATTGAATAAAATGTAATATTTGTGAGAATAAGTGGATCTGTGTAATCCAGTTATTTGAAAGTCGCACAGTTATTTGCATATCACCTCGTTGTCGTCCCATAAATCGTCAAATTCTTCTCTGTTATTTAAGCACTATGTCCAAAAATGGATGGTGAATAATAGAGTGTCCCAGGAAGGAGACAGTGCTATACGTGAAGCTTACGGCAAAACAGATTGAGGCTGAATTATTGACGAGAGTCATTTCTGTTTGCCCGCGGAGGCCTGCCAGTGAGCGGAGCATGCCACTAACTCTGTGTCAGTGTATTTTGGATATATCTCTATTAACTTAGTCTAGATAAATTCCTGTGTTTGCGATATTGATGTGACAATGCAGTGGAACGTCTCGTCTTATATTGAGCTCTAATGCTGTCCCCTCTAGGTTATTAAGATTGGTGCCCTGGGCCACAGGAAGAGGATCATTGCCTCTCTAGCAGAGAGGCCCTACGAAGAGGCTCCATCAAAGTCCCGTCGTCTGTCCCCGATTATGGTGAGACCTGCGATGTAGAAATTGATACAGTTCACAGAATGATGTGCTCTTTTTTGCTAGCTCTTCATGAGGTGGCACTGACTTGATGTCTAATCGGCTCTTCAATCCACAAAAAATGTTTTTTTTCTTGCAGCAGTGTGAATCAGACTGCAGCATTGTAAGTGCTGCTATTCAACCATCGAGGTGCAGAAACACAGCCAACGCTAATTTGGTTAATAGATTGGGTGTGCTCAATATGCCCAATTACAAGAGCTGTTCTGCTTTTGGCCTCAACATACCCCCTATTTAGTGTCAGTGATGCCTATAAAAGGTAAAAAAATGCTTTTTTAATAGTTGTTATAGTGCTCTATATTTCAATAGAGATCGATGATTAAACGCTTTTACTTTTCTTATTGAACAACAATCAAAACAGAGCTGAGGATGAAAGTTAAGCAGTGTTGCTCGACAAGCTTTATTTCTATGCCAACATCATTTTGTGAGAAAATGGATCCTTTTTATTTTTTTTCAGCTGCGGATGTCTAATTTTGGAATGAGATTCTTCAATATCATTATGTTCACAACAGTTAAATACTCAGGGCTGATTTCCCAGGCAGATTAAAACCGGGCTGAAAAGAACTGAGAATCTCTGTGGAAGAGGCTCTTTTGTGGAGGATTAAGCTTGGATGTAGATCAGGGAAACCAGCCCATGTAGACAGTGCTGTCAAATCATTAATCTGTGCTGTGTGTGTGTGTGTGTGTGTGTGTGTGTGTGTGTGTGTGTGTACTCTTTTGTGTGACTGGGTGTGTTTGGCAGTTCCATGACCTCCTGTCCCAGACCACATCTCCCCTCAGTCAGATGGACCCGTACACCAGTCGCTCCATGGACATGCTCCTGCCCTCGACCGAGTCCGACCGGAGGCGGAGGGGAGTTGACCAAGACTGTAGTGTTTCTCTGCGTTCGTATAGTGAGAGGCCGCGCTCGGTAGTGAGTTCCACCTTCTTTCACTTTTAACGTCTTCTGGGAAAGCATCAAACGTACCTTCAGTGAGCGACGAGCTGAATAATAGAGGAGGAGGACGCTGCACAAAGTTCGATGTGTCAGGGTGTCTTGTCACATGTTGTTGCTGGAGCTGTAGTCACATTTTTCAGACGTGGAGCTGCGATGCAAAACTAAACTAAACTGGTTGAGTTAAACGTTAGTGGGCAGACCCAAATAATCACAACAATATTAGACTGTAACCAGAGGACATTTCAGTGAAAGTTAGAAAGCAAAGCTGAATTATTGGCCTGCCCTACCTTCCTGTTTTCAAACATAATATAGCTTATAGTTTGCATAATTGTTTTAGCTACTTTAGCACATTAAATCTCCATCATGAACGACATGAAAATCAGCTTCAAGTTAACAAACTAACTTTTTTCTTAAAGCACTGTGGTCTTCAGCTCCGTTCAGCGTATTTTAACTCACTCATTAAGATCAATGGTCTCCTGAGGAGCTCTGGGTTTTAGAAATATTTGACAAGGGAAAAATTGAATGCAGCATTTTTATTTACTGACATGAATTCAGTTCTTCAGTGTTTCCCTGAATTTCTTGCTTTCGCCTTTAAGAAAATTAACCAAGAATAACTCACTATTTTACTATTTTCAAAAAAAGATCAAACTATGACACATTCACAGCCAAGCTGGCATGCCTCGTTTTTTCAAAGAGAAAACACAGAGGAGCGTCCACAGATAAGAGAAATGTTGAACAACTACACCACTCAGGATCAATCCATGCATTTTCTCGATCTGCTTATTCTATTCAGGGTCATGCGGAGCTGGAGCCGATCCCTGCTGACGTAGGCGTAGGCGTCATACTTAAAATCAATACTTTTCATTTTCCTAAATTCTTAGTGGATTATTGTCAGGAGTATATTTTACTCAAACCTAAAGGCCCAACCATGTGCATGAATATTTATGATTATACCAGCAGATCAAAAAGGACTTATAGTAAAGTGCTGACCAAGCAGTTGCCTTCATACTAATATTCCAGCAATCAAAAATTGAATGTCTTGTGTGCGTATGTGAAGAAAACTATCCCGGCCCTACAAACTTAGAGGATTTCGATTGCCATTTTAGAACAAATGTATATGTTTACTGCCACAATGTAAGCAGTGTTTTCCTCTCGTTGTTGTCTTCACCAACCAATGATGTTGCATCTCTGCAGGACCGACAGAGTGAACGACACAAAGACTCTCGTTTGAACCTCCGGCCGCCGAGCCAGTCTGCTACCTACGCCACGGTGTCCGCCTGGCATCACCAGCCTGAGAAGCTCATCCTGGACTCCTGCGGGTACGAGGCAACCGTAAGTCACTTCTTACCGTCTGTAGCATAGAAGCAGACATGCATTGGTCTTTGTTACATGACAGAACTCCCTATGGTTCCATAAAATAGATTGACTGGGATTTTTGTTTAAATTTGTTTCCAACCTGTACTGTAGTTGACGTGTAGCGTGTGTTTTGATTCTCTCTCTAGTACCTAGGATCAATGATAATCAGGGATCTACGAGGGATCGAGTCCACACAAGAGGCCTGTGCTAAAATTAGGGTAAGTATCACTGAAAAGCTTTGACAATATTTTTCTTCGAATTTGATTTGCTTTGACATTTTGAAGAACAACTCAAAAGTGTTGCACTGATTAAAAAAGCAGATAAACAATAAAAATGAAATGACAAGAATTACAGATGAAACATGATAACTAACTATTTCTGTTATTACATATATAGTGGATGAACCATTGTGATTTGTTGTACTATATCTCACCTATTTTATTGCAGAAATCAAAGGATTCAAGAAAGGGTCCAGTCGTCATACTGTCCATTACCTATAGAGGGGTCAAGTTCATCGATGCAGCCATGAAGGTAATGGTAAAGCATGTTTGTGTGCCTCCGTACAGTATATTGATCTGTCCAACACAAACACTGCAGTCGACCCTCTCCGCCTCCATTAGTGGTTGATTTCCAGTAAGTACTCACATCCTTCCCTTCTCCATTAGACTATAGTTGCGGAGCACGAGATCAGGAACATCTCGTGCGCCGCCCAAGACCCAGATGACCTCTGCACTTTTGCTTACATTACCAAGGATCTGAAGAGTGGCCACCACTTCTGCCATGTCTTCAGCACTGTGGAAGTGGTGAGTAATACAACTCTATCCTGTTATATATATATATACATATATCCTGTATAATACATTGAGGAAACCCTTAAGTCTTCATATTAGTCTTGAGCTTTTTGTGAATTCCTCATTGATTAATTTAGAAAAGCAAAGTGTCCTTCGTGGGATGTCCAGCATCCCGCAGTTACAGCTGTGTGCAGCACCCTGTGGCCGTTATTTCCTTGATTGACTCATCGAGTGGCTTGATTGAAGTTGCTCTCCCGCTACGCATGGCATTTCCATGTACAGGCACAGATTATGTTGCAATTTGTGTCTCAGCTTCCGTAAAAGGTCAGAGACGATCTTTTCTCTTGAGCAGGTGGACCACTGTGGAGTTTCAGATACCTGCGGGGACACAGTTTTAACTGAACTGTGATCCTCAAAGTTTTCACAATTTTGAGCCTTATTTATATGTATTCAGCACGACCGCTCCATGTCGCAGAATGTTGTGTAAAGAATGGCGTTTTGCTTTTGAGCCAATGAGAAATTATACAAAGCAATTATCCAAACAATGTGACGAGCAGCGCTTTTGTGTGACGCACAACACATTGTTGAAAACAATCCTTTGCAAAACCAATAAAGTGACTGTAATTCTCAACAAAGTCATTTAAATCAGTGGTTCTCAACTGGTCTGGCTGTGGGACCCACCATCACCCCTTAATGACAAGCCGCGACCCACGACCCAAATTATATATATATATATATATATATATAATGTGGGTCGCGGCCAGTCAAATCAAATAAAGAAAGTACACATCAATTATATTTTAACAATTATTGTTCTCAGCTTTCAAATGTAACTGGATGGATTATAAATAATACATAGAAATACATAAATAAATGTTCTTCTTATTTCAAGTAAAATAACGAATGGATTTAAAAATAAATTACGTAACAAAATTCATTTTAGAAAAGTTATTTTCACTGAATTGCCCTGCAGCTTTAACTTCAGTTCATTCAGGGTGAAGTGAAAAAGCCAAAATATTATATTTTTCTCATCCTCTAAAAATATAAATGAGTGTTGGAAGAATTCACCTCTATGAGTCTGTCCAGTCTAATGACTCTGGTCTCTCTGGACATTTTTCTCTTTTGGAGATCGTCCTATGATTTAACCCTAACCCTAACCCACCAGTTGAGAATCACTGATTTAAATGATACAGTAGATTTTGTTAAAATTGTATTAAAGAACTAAATGTTAAGTCATGTTTGTGAAAGTGTTCTGCTTTTACTAGAGGCCATTAGTGAAATTAAACGGTTTGTCATGCACACAAGCAAAGGGCACATATACTGTATCTCTTAAGGTTAATGTGAATTCAGTTTAGATGTATCATGAAAGAATACCACTGTGAAGAAGTTGTTTTGTGTCAGTTTGCAGCAGCTAAAATGCCAGCTGTTTGAATTTGACTTTTTTTTATAACCAAGACCTTACTTCATGTTCAGTGTCTTTAAAAAAAAAAATTGTCTTCATTCACATAGACACAGACCTACGAGATCATCCTGACACTGGGACAGGCATTTGAGGTGGCCTATCAGATGGCAATGCAGGCCAGGGCGAGACACTATGTCCCGCCTACGTCTCTGAGTTCAGAGGTCATAGAGACCAAAGCCAGCCGTCCTGTATCTCAGTCATGGAGCAGCATGCGGAGATCAGCAGTGAGTACCACCCTACAACTCTTTGGAAAAAAACAATGTTGAACATGTGTTATCTGTGAGCGTGTGTGAGTGTTAAATTTGCCCTACTTGTTAAAAGGACAGAGGAGGGGGGGAACACACACACGCCGTTGCACAATCATAATTCAGAAGAAGTACACAGACCTCGTGACCGACTTTTTCCCCGCCACTGAATCCCCAATAGGCCGCCTACAAAGGATGATTTGCTGCGTGTGTGGTAGAAAGTGATGAGTCATTACTTTGCAACCAATTTCA